TAGTAGTAGTAGTAGTAGTAATAGTAGTAGTAGTAGTAGTAGTAGTAGTAGTAGTAGTAGTAGCAGTAGTAGTAGCTGTAGTAGTATTAGTAGCAGTAGTAGTGCTAGCATCAGTAGTAGACAGGGTATCTTATTATTTGTATTCGTACTCGTACTCGTAGTTGTACATCTACTAATGAGGGGTCTTGCGGAGTCCAGCGGGATCCTTGGGAGTCATGGGGGATGTTTTTGGAATTCTTTCGGATCCCTGGGAATTCATTTTTGGAATCCTCTGGGATCTTTCGGACCCTTGAGGGATCGTCAGGGATCCTGAGTTCTTTCCGGATCTACCTGAAAAACTCTGGATTCCTCCGGAATCCTTCGGGATCCGGAGGAGTCCAGCGGAACTCTCGAGATCCTCAACATATCCGACGAAGTGTAGAGGAGTTCAGTGGAGTCCTAAGGGCCCCATGAAGAACCTGGAGAATTCCGAGTGGATCCTCAACAATCTTGAGGCTCACTGAGCGTTCCCAACGAATCCTCTGAAATCTGGAGGGTTCCTCTGGAATCTGGAAGATCCTGCGGAATCCGGAGACACCGAGCGAATCATCAAGAATATTAAGGTGTTTTAGCGTAGACATGCAGCCGCACCACCAATATCGACACACCCCTCATACGTGTCGTGGCCCCATAGGAGCTCCACCGAAGGCACCAGGGGGGTGAACGACATGGGGCCGCCGCGCCCATGTCGGCACACCGATCCCACGCTGCGCGGCCCCATGGGGAGTTCCATCTGAGGCCGCAGTGGGGTGTATCACATTACCACACGCGGCCGCCCCACCTTTTCTCGGCACACCTTCACACGTTTCGTGTTCCCCTGAGGAGCTGCACCGAAGGCCCCAGGGGCGCGTACCACATGCTGCTGCCCCACCCATTTCGGCACACCTCTCACACAGTGATCATTGTCACGGTCGAGCTCAAGCACATATGTTTTGCAAAAGGTTACGGTCGAGGTGGCTAACCGCCGGCGATCGGACGGATCGCACCTGCTGTTTCAGTTTTTCCTCGGGAGGCTTCAGGGGACCCGCTGCAGCTAGGAGGGCTCTCATGATTTCTCCATTCTTCGAAAACTTGTTGAAGCGCCCCCACAGCGTCGCAACCACTTAGGATCGAAGCGATCGACGATGGGTCCGAAGTGGCCGCAGTGAAGTCCGAAGTGGTCGGCGATCGGTTCGGCTGCGATCGGTCCGACGTGGTCGACGATCGGTCCTAAGTGGCTGCGATCGGTCGCGGTCCCCCACGCGGCGCCCCCCACTGGCGAGCACGGGCGCCATCGCGGCGAAACTTCGGCGTAGCCACCCGCAGCACGGGGCGTCCAAGCTCGGAAGCTGGAGCATATACCTTACCAGTGGCGGGCTGTTTTTCAATCCCCGGATTTTTGTAGGGTCGGGGGCGACATCGGGGCGGTGTGGTGTCTTTTTCTTCTCCGCTCTCCCGGGGAAACCACGAAACGTGTAGACACCAGGATCCCGTAGACACCACCAAGATCCGCTTTCCTCTGCGAGTTTTCAGTACGGGGCCAGACAAAGCGTCGGTATATAGAGTTCGGCTTCTTACAAGCGGGCCCCCATCGGGCGGGCCCGGGCGCCATATCGCGGCGAGGCTACGGAACGTGAATACGCCAGGATCCCGTAGACACCACCAGGGTCCGCTTTCCTCTGCGAGTTCTCAGTGAGGGGCCGGGAAACAGCGTCGGTGTATAGAGTTCGGCCTCTTCCAAGCGGGTCCCCATCGGGCGGGCCCGGGCGCCATATCGCGGCGAGGCCTCGGTGGGCCCGCCCGCGGCATGGGGCGCCCACGGGCGACCACACGGGACCCTTCACGGGCGGGCGCGGGCGCCGCCGCGGCAAGACGCCCGCGGCCGCAGCAGGGCGCGGGGTGCCCACGGAGGGGCGAGCTGGCGGGCAGGGGCGCTGTCGCGGCGGAGCCTCAGCGGCAGGGCTGGACCTACTCGCTGTTTGCTTGGACCTCGACCGTGTTTCGCGCGTCGTGTTGGCAGGAAGCTGCAGGAAGACGGGTCGAGCGAGGCGAGCAGCAACACGGACACGAAGCGACCAGCAACGGTTAGGCCCAGCCCTGCCCAGCGGGCCCACCACGCCATGGGGCGCGCACGAGCGCCCACCCACGAGGTTGTCTCGCTCACGGGCGGGCACGGGCACGGGACGCGGCACGTCGTCGGCGAGCCCACCCCGGGCACGGGGCCGTCCACGTGCGGCCCGCTTGCGGCGCCATCGCGGCCGAAAGACGTCCGCGGGCCCACCGGGCCACGGGGGGCGCGCACGGGGCGCCCCCGGGGCGCCCACGATGGCGGGCGCACGGGACGCGGCGAGCCGCCGGCGGGCCCACCTGTTGGCACGGGGCGCTCGCGAGCGCTCGCGGGGCGCCCTCGGGCGGGTTTCGGGCGCCCTCTCGCGGCGAAGCTTCGGCGGCGCCCACGAGGCGGCACGTGGCTTGGCGGCCCCGTCCACGTCCGCGGGCAGCACCGGCACATGCCCGCAATCACCTGGTTGGGGAACGTGTGTGCTGCATATATAGAGAAAAGGGAAAGAGAAAGAGAAAGAGAAAGAGATAAAGAGAGAGAGAGAGAGAGAGAGAGAGAACGAGAGAGAGAGAGAGAGTGAAGGAGGGCAAGAGAGAGAGAGAGAGATAGAGACAGATAGAGAGAGAGAGAGAGAGAGACAGCGAGAAACAGGGAGAGAGTGAGAGAGAGGGATTGCACACGTGCATCTACATATGCACAAACGCGCAGGTTCATATTTTGCGTTAGCCATCGTGGCCCCAAACATTGATCCGTAGCCTTTTTGGCTCAAGCTGTGTGTTGGCTCGAGCGGTAGCGGCGTCCCGCCCGCCTCGCGCTTCTCCTCCTCCCCCCTTCCCCTTCCACCAGCCAGCCCCCCCCGCAGCCCTCGCGGGTCCTGGCGCTCGCCCCGATGGGCTCGTCAGAGTCCTCGCGGGCGCCGCGGCCACATGGGGCCCAGGCCGAGGTGCGCAAAGAGGAGACCCTCACGGAGGAGACCCTGCGCTTCTGCGAGCGGCGGGGCATCCGCTTCACGCACAAGGCCATCTACGCCCACGCGCTGCCCGGCATCGCCGGCATCGAGCTGGGCCAGGCCATCGCCGACATCCTGACGGCGGGGCTCGCGGAGCTGCGGCGGGCGACCGCCGGCAACGCGTACCACTGGTTCTTCGTGGCCCGGGACGGCGCCTCCGAGAACTTCTTCGTCACCTACGCGCACGACCTCGGCTTCGCGTGCTCCCTCCAGTTCAGGCTGCAGGACGCGCTGAAGGCCGGCTGCCTGTCCGAGAGCGACGCCTGCAACGTCTGGATGAAGCACCAGTGGATCGAGGCCTCCCGGCCGCGCTCTGCGGCCGACATGCAGGCGCTGATGCGGCAGACGCCGTCCTGGGGCGACTGCTACCGGTGGGACTCGAACAACTGCCAGCACTACGCCTGGTACCTCTACAGGCCCGACTACGGCCCGGAGGAGTGCACCGTGTGAGCCACCGCAGGAGGAGGAGGAGGGAGGAGGAGGAGGAGGAGGAGGAGGAGGAGGAGGAGGAGGAGGAGGAGGAGGAGGACGATTGCCGCAATCCGATGCCCTTTTTCCTGGTGCTAGCTCCGCCAGGGCCTGGTCCTGCATGAGGCCCGTTTCTGATGACGAATGGCTTCCAGTGACCTCAGCCCCCACGCCAGCTGCCCAGGGTGCTGCCGATGGCTGCATCAGGCTTGACGAGGGTCTTCTTGTGACTACAGTGAACGCCAATTCCTGGGGCACTCTCAAGAACTTTCTGCCCTCGGCCAGGTCGCATGTGGTTATTGCTCAGGAACATCGGCTTAAAGATCCTAGTGCTCTGGACCAAGCTTCGAAGTCGTCCAAGTTTCTGGGATGGAAAACGCTATGGGCGTCAGGCCTGCCTGGAGAGGGAGGAGGCGTATCTTCGGGAGTTTGTGTCTGTGTTCGAGATGGCCTAGGGCTTTTCGAAGCTGCTGGGAATATTATTCTCGTTCCTGGTCGAGCTGTTGCCACCATGGTTCACGTACCAGGGTGCGCTCCATTTTGTGTCTGCAGCCTCTACCTAGTCCACAGTGAAGGTCTCTCGGAATCAAATAGAGAATCGTTGAGGGTGGTTGGGGAATCTTTAGATCTCTTGGGTTGTGAGTTTATCGTGGGGGCGGATTGGAACATGGGTCCCGAGGTTCTTGAAGCTTCTGATTTTGGCAAAAAGCTTAGGGCCAGTACCATTGTTCCTGAAGATCACACCCACTTCCCCAGCAGGGGCCCTCCTGATCGTTTTGATTACTTTGTGGTGTCGGAGGCTCTCAGCCTCTGCCTCAAGAGTGTTTTTGTTGAAGGGGACTCCAGCATCACTCCGCATCGCCCTGTGTCGCTTCGTTTTCATAGTTCCCTGGGCGATCTCAAGGCTCTTGCCTTCCGCCAACCCCCTTCGTTGCCTGTGCTCCCTCCTGTCGGCCCTTCGCCCAAGTCTGGCGACTGGAGTGCTGCGCTTGATTTGGCCGAAGAAGCGTTTAGTGCGGTCACTAACGGGGAGGCGGGAAAAGCGCGCAGGCTTTTGGGCATTGGATACAAGTTTTGGGCTGATGCGGCGGAAAAAGACCTTGCCAACTCTCTGGGGACCGAGCTCAAGGTTTTGGGGACTCGGGGGAAGCGGCCTCAGGTTTACTGGAAGTCGGTGCTCCGTCCAGCGGGGCGTGAAACAGACCCTGGTTTACGGTCTATTTCCTGGCTGTGTAATCAGCTGCGTGCAGTTAGGTGCTATCTCTCGGATTCGGTCTTGCAGGAGGCTGGACGACAGGTGCTCAACTCGATCCTCCAGCCTCCGTCGGCCGTGGCGGTGCAGGAGAGCTCAGAGTTCCACTCGCTCTTCAAGGCCAGTGCGGCCTTAGCTAGATGCGCCTTTTCTCATGTGCTGGATCCTGAGCTCGATCAGGTTGCTCAAGCCGTCGCCGCTGCTAAGGTCACCGCTGCGAATGCCTCGCGGCAAGAGTGGCAAGAGTGGGTGCGCACGGGCATTGATGCTGGTGGTCGCAACGCTCAGAGGGCCATCAAAGGCCCCGAACCCTGGAAGCCCTCCACCACCTTAGCCAGATGTGGTACTATCGTTTGCGACCCAGTGTCTTTGCTGCAGGCCGAGGGCGACAAGTTTGCTGCCATTTGGGGCACTGGCAAAGGCATCGGTGTGGGCCATGACCTTTTGCCCCATGGGCGAATTTTAGAGCCTACCGAGCTCCGAGCTATTTCAAAAAAGTATCGTACCTCCTCTGCTGTGAGCGTTGATGGATTCCACTGTCGGCATTTTAGCCTTCTCCCCGGTGAGGCTTTGCATGCCCTGGCCCTGTGGTTTGCTGTTTGGGAAGCCACTGGTGAGCTGCCCAAGCAGCTCTCGTGGGTGCTTATGGCCTTGTTGGCCAAGCCGACGGGTGGGTTCAGGCCCATTGGGGTCTTCCCGAGCCTGTGCCGCCTTTGGGGTCGTGCCCGTCGTCAGGAGGCGCTCCAGTGGGAGCTCGCCTACCCTAGAACGTACTGGGCTGCTGGGGCCAACAGGGGAGCGGGGGGCGTTGTTTGGAGGCAGGCTTTCAGGGCCGAAGCGGGTACTCGCAAGAGAGAAGTTTCGGCTTCCATTTTCTGGGATCTCAGGAAGTACTATGAGCACATCGACCTGAGGTACTTCTGGCATCAGTGCGTGCATTTCCATTTCCCGTTGCCTCTTGCGAGACTGGCCATCAGGGCGTATTCGTGTGCTCGCTTTCTGGCCCTTGGGGGCATCATCCAGGGCCCGTATTTCGTCTCCAAGGGTTTAGTGGCGGGTTGCTCGTTTGCGACCAGCCTCATTCGCGTTTTTGCCATGCAGGCCTTTGACGAGGCCCTCGTTTCGATTCCCAAGGGCCCAGGAGGCACGACTGACTTCGACGCCTACGTCGATGACCTTAGTCTCAGCTCTAAGGTTGTTGTTGCCAGCCTCACGGCGGGAGCCAAGGCGCTCCACCGAGCCATTGCGGCGACGCTCGAGTGCAAGCTGGCCATGGACAAAGTGGGGATGATCAGCAACTCCCCTGATGTTTCCAGAAAGCTCACGGAGACCCTGGGGCCTCTTGTTGGACCAGCCTGCTCTCGGGTTACCAATCTGGGCTCTGATTTCACGGCGGGCAGACCTGTTCGCTCCAAAGGGCGCTCGGCCAAATTCAAATCTAGAGCTGCGGCTGCGCTGAGGAAGACCAAAAAGCTTAGGGGCCTCCAGCAGGTCCTCGGCCGCAAGTGCTTGAAGGTCTTTGCGGCGGGTCCGATGGCTGGAGCTGTGTATGGCTCTGACTTGTTTGGGATTTCGGACAGGGGGCTGCTTAACCTCAGAAGGATGGCCATGTCGACGGTCGAACCCAGAGCCCAGGGTCGATCCCTCAGCGTCTTGTGTCTTCTCTCGGATGACCCTACGTGGAGGGGCTGTTGTGCGCCTGTCATTCGCTGGGCCAAGGAGGTCTGGGCCCTGCACACTCATGGGTTTCCCTGGGCGTTGAGCTGGGCTGAACTCAGGGACGGCTGGTGCGCCGTCTTTGCGTCTGACGACCACTCTTGGTCCAAAGTGGCTGGGCCTGTTTCTGCCCTGCGCATGTCCTTGTACAGGCTGGGCTGGGCCATGCCCAATTTTTGCACCATTGTTGATGGTCTTGGCCGAGAAATCTCCTTGACCCTGTCGTCCCCTAAGCTTGTCAAGCTTTATTGTAAGGAAGCTCATCTCCGGGGTCTTGAAAGGGAGTCGGGGGATAAATACGGTTGTGGTTTCAGGCTTTGCTTGGACGTGGTCAAGCAGCTTTTGTCTCCCAGGAAGGTTTCTAGTAAAACCAAAGGTTGGATCCGAGCGCAGGCCACGAGAGCTTGCTGGACGGCAAGTGATGTGGCAGCGGCAGGGTATGACTTTTCTGACAAGTGCGCGTTGTGCGGCAAGGACCGCGACACCCTCTTCCACAGGCTCTTCGTGTGCCCGTCCGTGCAGTCTGTGAGGGAAGCGGTTCTAGACAAAAGCATTCAAAATGAAGCGCTGGAGCTAGGTGCAGATCATGTCGACATGTGTCTGTACTTGTATGGTGCCTTCAAACATCCTGGGGACTATGCTCCACCGCCACTCACTGAAGGAGGTACCAGCCTGGAATGGTTTGTTGATGCGCTTCCTGACCCTTTGGACCTCGCTGCTGCTCCCTCTATTCCCCCCTCCGTTGGGCTCTGGGGGCACCTCTTTATGGATGGCTCGTGCCATCGACATGTAGTGCGTGAGCTCTCAAGGGCTGGCTGGGCTGTTGTCATGGTTTCGTGTTCGGGTGAGCGCCTCGGGGTTTTGAAAGGCCCTCTGTGGGCCCCGTGGCCTCAGACGCCCCAGGGTGCCGAGTTTGGGGCCCTGGCCTGGACCGCTGTGCAAACCGAAGGCCCTGCTTTGTGTTATTCTGATTGTGCTAATGTGGTCCATTTAATGAATCTTGGTGCTGCCGACGGTGTCAGCGCCAGGCGTCAGTATGCTGGCCAGATCATTCAAGCTAGGCATTATTTTGGCACCAACCTAATCTCCTTAGATAAGGTTGAGGCCCACAAAGATGCCGACGAGGAAGGGCTCTCCCCGCATCAGAGATTCGTGCAAAGAGGGAACTTCTACGCTGACGTCTATGCCAAGGAGGGTGCGAATCAGCACCCTGCCATGTCTCCGACGGAGCAGGAGGCCCTCGATCATCATATCCTAGTGTCGAGGGCGATCTTGTTAGCGGGAGCGGAGCTCTTGCCACTTTGGCCGGAGTTGGAGTTTCGAGGTCTGCTGCGCTTCCCACCGCCGCCTGACTCGAAAGCTCCCCTTTTAGAGCTCGTCCACGACTGGTCCCAACAAGGTTCCTCCTGGCGGTGTCGGGTGTGTCTTCGCGGTTCCCGTGCGAAGTCTAAGCCGCTGGGAGGAACGTGCCCTGGGCAATCCCGTTTGGACCAGGGACTGTTGGAGAGATTAGGCCATCGAGTCATTGCCTTCCCTTGCAGAGACAAGGGCCACCTGTACCTGTGCATGTCGTGCAAGTTTTATTCTAGTTGTGAAAAGGTCTTGGGATTGTTCCGTAAGTGCGGGCCCCCCACGGAGACAGGTTTCAGAAACTTGAGACGGCTCCGTAAAGGACTGCACCCTGATAAGAAGGGTGTTTCGGTCGATATCAACGAATTCATCCCACTATTATAAATTACAGGTAATTCGCTTTGCCCTCAGTGCGCCTCTGGCTGTCGGTGCAGGCTCGTCACTTTCAGAGGCATGAATGTTGCATTCAAAAAAGAGGAGGAGGAGGAGGAGGAGGAGGAGGAGGAGGAGCAAGGAGGAGGAGGAGGAGGAGGAGGAGGAGGAGGAGGATGGAGGAGGAGGAGGTCGGAGGAGGAGGAGGAGGAGGAGGAGGGGAGGAGGGAGGAGGAGGAAAACCGCCTCCCCTCTCCCCCCCGCCCCTCGGGCAGCTGCTCCCCGCGCGCGCGCCCGCGCGGGCCCTCCGCCGCGCCGCGGCCGCGGCCGCCGGCGCAGGCCGAGAAGCCGCACGTGTCGTTCCCCTCCCGTGGGAAAAAACAAAAACAAGTCGTGGCCCCAAACAGTGGTGTCCTGCAAGATATGCGGGGGCCACATGCGAACCCTACCCCTGACCCCCCACGATTTCTGAGGGGGAGGGTGGGGTTCGCACGTGGACCCCCAGGTGCGCGGCGCAGTCTAGGTGGTGCAATCCACTCTGCTGAACTTGAAGTCGCCATCTCCACTGCTCGCGCAAACATCCCACCCACCCACCCGCAACTTGGTTTGCAAAACCTCTTGAGACCGACTACGACGACACCGACGACAACGACTAGGACGACACCGACGACGTCTCCGACGACTTCGACGACGACAACGACGCCGATGCCGACGACGACGACGAAGACGACGACGACGCCAACGAAGGCGACGACGAGGGAGGAGGAAGGACGACGACGGCGACAACGACGACAACGAAGACAACGACGAGGGAGGAGGGAGGACGGCGACGACGCGAACGACGACGAAGGAGGAATGACGGCGACGCCGACGACGACAACGACGAGGGAGGAGGGAAGACGACGACGACAACGACGACGACGACGGCGACGAAATAGGAGGGACGACGACAAGACGCCGACGACGGACGACGACGACGACGACGTGGGAGGAGGAGGAAGGACGACCACGGCGACAACGACGACGGAAACGATCACGACGCCAAAGAGGACGACGACGACGAACACGAGAAAAGACAAAGGACGACGTAGGCGACGACGACGACGAAGCGGGAGGAGGGAGGACGGCGACGACGACGACGACGACGAATCAAGAGCGCGCACGCACGCTTTTGTTGAAAATCCGTGTTGCGAAACCCTGTATTGTTGTATGTTTTTTGGACGCACGATTTTGAAATCCTTCCGAAACCGATGGGTTTTGAAGGTTTTCGGCATACGCCCGCGACGACGCGCGCGTCTGCACTTCGTCCCATTTTTTGCAGAGGATTCTCGCGACGGCACACGCGCAAGGGCGTTCGACAGATTTCGACATGCGCGCGCGAAGCCCGTTTGGTAGCATTTTGTGAAAATCTTGAAACACCTGTGGTTTTCTTAAGATTTCGCAAGAGCTCGCGCGGAAGCTTTTTTAGCAAATTAGTGTTGCGAAACCATGTGTTGTTGTATGCTTTTTGGAAACTCGTTTGCGAAATCCTTCCGGCACCGAAGGTTTTTGAAGGATTTCGGCATGCGCGCGCGACGACGCGCGCGTGCGCACTTCGTCCCATTTTTTGCAAGGGATTCGTGAACAAGTGTTATGTTAGAACGAAAAATGTCACCGCATAGTGTTTTTTTTTTTTTTTTTTTTTTTACAAATGGAACCGCAGGGGGGGGAAATCGGTTTGGCTGTGATGGTATGATTTCATATTTATGATGGACGAGTGTGCTGAAAATATATGAAATCACATTATCCCAGGGAGAACCGATAACTCCGGGGGGGGGGGGGGTAGAGTCTATTCTCTTTTTAGAAAGGAGAATCCATGTGGTGCAGACGGTGCAGCGTCATGCAATGCAGTTCAAAGCAGAGCAATGCAATGCACCGCGATGCAAATCAATGTAAAGCTATGCACGGCAACGCAAAGAAATGCACAACAATTCAGAGCAGCGTAGTGCGATCCAAAGCAATGCCAAGCAATGACAAGCAATGCAAAGCAATTCAATGCGATGCAATGCAATGAGATGCAAAGCAATTCAAAGCAAAGCAAAGCAATGCAAGGCTTGCGATGCGAACAGGGGTGGGGTGGACAACGGGAGTAGGGTGGGCGCCGGGGGGTGCAACGATGTGCAATGGGGCGGCGGTGACGGACTGGAACCGGGCCGCCTGGCCAACATATTGGCTTCTCATTGGGGAAAATACGGCGGCGCCAGACGGGGACGGGGCCGCTGGGCCAACAGACGTGCCCAATTCCTTACACGTTGGAAGTGGGAACTCCTAAGTGCAAACGCCGTTTTGGGGAGACAATTTTTCGAGAGCAGGAGGACGCATACGAGTAGGAGGATGCAGTCTTGTTGAAGCGCGCGAGTTTTTTCGAACCAGACTGGCACGCGCGCGAAGCGTGCGTTTAGATTATGGGTACACATTCAAAAGTGCATACACTCGTTTGTTATGCGACATTCCACCTCGATCCGGGCGTGAATCCCTAGACCTCCCTCGCTTCCAAGGATGACGAAGAGGACGTAAAGGCGAGGAGAACTGAACTATTGGGTACGGGTCGGCGATTGCTTAGCATTTCGCTGTGCGACAAATAGTTGGGCATGCGATGGTGTAAGTGGCTTGAGGGCCATGTCGTCTCCTGGCTCCTCCTCCGAACGGTCCTCTCGCTTCGCCTGTGGTGCGGTGGCGGGCACTCGAACGGACGGCTGGTGCCAACGAACACACTCGGTGTGGGGGCAGGCGCCGCTGCAGCCGAGGGGCGCTGCCCTGCGGTGGCGCGCGGGCCGACGGCTGTGGCTCTGGCGCGGTGCGGCGCCAAGGAGCCAGGGCAATGGCGTCGAAGAACGAATAACTGCATAAGCATTAGCTTTCGGCAGTCCGGCGCGGGTCAGCGCTGGCGGCGCCTCTGGCGCCGCCCCTGGCCCTCTTCCCGCTGAAGGGGCGGGTGGCTCTGCGCTGGCCGAAGGGCTTCGCGCGGGCCACTCCACACTAATGCTTGTGCAGTTGTTTATTCTTGCGCGGAGGGGGAGGGGACTTGACACGAACCTTTCCTCCCCCTCTCCCCTGTTTCCGCCTCTCCCCCCCTCCTCCCCCCCTCCCTCCTCCTCCTCCTCCTTCTCCTCCTCCCCCCCCCCTCCTCCTCCTCCTCCTCCTCCTCCTCCTCCTCCTCCTCCTCCTCCTCCTCCTCCTCCTCCTCCTCCTCCTCCTCCTCCTCCTCGCCCCAGCGGCTCCCCTCTCCCTCGACCCACGCTGCCGCTCGCTGGGGAGCGGTGGTCGGTATGGCTGGCCTGTGCGCGTCGAAAGACGCGATCCGATCGCATATGGTTCTTTTCAGGGTGTCAATGCCTTGGCATCGCTCGGACGTGTGCATTTTTTCTCGGCGAGAACCACCGAGGACCATCCTGGACCATCGAGCAACAAAAACACGCACGAAACCGAAACATGCACGGGAAATGGACGTCCGAGCGACGGCAAGAGTGGGGCCTCTCAGTTAGTTCTCGGCGGCGAGCGAGGGGGGGGAAGTGAGAAGGAGAAGGCCTTCCCAGAAGGCGGCGGGACTCCTCAGAAGCCCTCGCGCCTTCTGCGAAGATCTCGCTGTCTTCGGGGAAGGCTTGGGGAACTTCTCAGAAAGCTTGGAGACTTTCGAACCTTCTGAGAAGGCCCGCCCCTTCCCACTTCCCCCCCTCGCTCGCCGCCTAAGTTCCTCACTGTTGACGGTCAGCTGGCTCCGAGACTTTATATACTTTGCTATCCGACCGGATCGCGTCCAACTGCTGTGCCATCGGTAAAAAGGAGGGCCCTACACCGTGTTCCTGCCATGTGTTGGTCCGTGGTGTTGCAGAGCCGTGCCGTGTAGCTCCTGCCGCTTTCCAGCTAGCATGTAACTGATCAGTCCCGACGCCTGGTTGAAAATTGCACTGGTCTGCTGTGTAGCGAAGGCGATGTTTCGGTACCTCCGCTTTGTAATATCGACGCGGATTAGCACAATCGATCGCGTCGTGCTTGGCGAAGTCTGCACAGTAGTCGATGCTTGGCCATTTGTATGTAAAGGGTCAACCATGTACTTTCACCAGTCCCATTCTTGTACGTTGCGTCTTTGCGGTTAGGTTGCCAGTCATGCTCATGATTTGCATGTGCGCACGTCAACATGCACACGTTTGAGTGTGTGCACCCGTTGAAGTGGTAGTGCAAGCCAAATGCCTACTACCGTGGTGGAAGCTTGTACCTGAGGCTGTTGGAGACTTCCTGCGCTCCTGCGCAAACATTTTGCAATGGGATAGAAAGATTTCGGCCGCCCGTCCCATTTACACCCCTTCATGTGGCCTTCCCGCCGGTCTCCCGTTCGATTGTGAGACATGTGGGTCTCAGAGTTGCCGAGGCGCCGCTCGGCATTAGCCAGGCAACGCGGCCCGTGTTCCAGGCTTTCTCATGGCTGCCGGCACGCGCGCCCCAGGACCCCCTCTCGAGCTTCAGGCACGTCTTGCTTCAGACGCTGGACGGGCAGCACAGGGAGAAGAAGCGGCTGGAGGCCGAGAAGGCGAAGGATCTGCGGCGGGAGGGCCAGCTGGGACCGCGGGCGTTGCAGCCCGACCGAGGCATAAGATCGAGGTCGCTTCGGGGAGGATGCCCTCATGTTCGTCGTGCTTGTTCGATGCTCTTGTGCAGGTACCCTCGAATGTCTTCATTTTGGCCGGCAGGCGGTCTCATGTTCAGGAAGGGTGTTCTTCTGTCCCAGGTCCGACTGTAAGTCCCACACCTTCTACGTGTGCAGCGTTTCCTGGTGCGCTTAAGTCGGGCCTGTCCCTCTACAAGGGGAAAATTCAAAATCAGTTACAAATAGTCAGGGGCTGATTTCTTGTTTTTTGACTATTGTTGTTTCTTTTTTGGGGTGTTTTTTTTCACATGTTTTTCAATGTTCGCCCAAAGTCAGCCTGTAGGGGGGCATGCCCGACCAACTGCTGCGCGTGTCTTGCTTCTGGAGGGGTGAGGGGGGCGCGGAGCGGCAGCGGCGCCAGGATGGGAACCGAGACGGCAGGGAGGACGGTGACGATGAGAATGGAGGGAGGGAGGTTGAAGGATTTGAAGAAGAAAAAACGAAAAAATGTTGGCGCTCCGCGCGGATTCCTTGGATCCGCGCCGGGGCCCCCCCAGCGGCGCCTCCGGCGGCGCCGCTGGCGCGCTCCGCGCGCCAGGGAGCGCGCGCGCGCGGAGCGCGCCAGGGGCGGCGCCGGAGGCGCCGCTGGGGGGGGGCCCTGCGCGGATCCGAGAAATCCGCGCGGCGCGCCCAAAGTTTATGGTTATGTGGCTTCTTCTTGTGAGGATGGTCAGAAGAGGAAGAGGCACCCATGCAGCTGCCCTTCCCTGGTCTCCCCCTGTGGGGGCCGCCTGGGGGAGGCCCTCGTGGCCACCGCGGGATCCGCCCCGGAATCCTGGTCGGAACACTAGGGGGGGGTGGATATCATGGCGGGGGCCATGATATTTCCCCAGATTTCATGGCGCCTCGTCTTATTACATTACGTCCCTGGCCCCCCCGCTGGGCCGCGCACATGCCGCCGGTCATGATTTGCACCCTCCCCCTCTTGGACACCCCCCTCTTGGCCGCTCCCGAGCATCTGTACCCTCTGGTTTTTCCCCAGAAGGGGGACGGGGGCCCGCTCTCGCAGAGGCTGCAGCGGCTGCGGCCCGTGGCTCCGCTGTGGCGCGCGCGGAGTGTAGCTCTCGCAAGCGGAGCTCGGTCCACGAGGCGGAGTGAAGCAACAACAAAGAGGTTGGAGTTTGGTCTGGCATGTCCCCTTTCAGGCGGATTTTGGAAGAAAAATAAAAGATACTCAAAACATGCACCAAACATATGCAAAAATGGTAAAAGATCGTCCCCAGACTATTTCCCTACCTAGGCTCTGCCTAGAAGGGTTCTTACTCTGTTTGCTTAAAGGGCCAGGCAGTGGAATGCGCCCCGGGCGGTTCCCCCAGTTGCGCTCCCCGGGCGGTTCCCCCAGTTGCGCTCCCTGGGTGCCAAGCAAAAGCAAAAGCAAAGACAAAAGTGAAGGCAAAAGCGAAGGCAAAGCAAAAACATAGCATAGCAGAGCAGAGCATAGCATAGCATAGCGCAGCATAGCATAGCGCAGCATTTCATATAATAGCATAGCCTAGCCTAGCCTAGCCCAGCATAGCATTGCGCAGCATAACATAGCATAGCACAGTATAGCATAGCAGAGCATAGCATAGCATAGCATAGCGCAGCACAGCATCCACTCTTGCTGCTGCTATAGTAGGTCTAGATGTAGATGTAGGTGTCGATGTAGATGTAGGTGTAGATATATATGTAGATGTAAAGAACTCCCCAGTGCCCCGCCCTTATCTCCGTGCCTGCTTGCTGCTGCTTCACTTACGGCGTGGCGTCGGCGGTTCTGGCGCTACTACTACTACTACTACTACTACTACTACTACTACTACTACTACTACTACTACTACTACTACTACTACTACTACTACTACTACTACTACTACTACTACTACTACTACTACCACTACACTACTACTACTACTACTACTACTACTACTACTACTACTACTACTACTACTACTACTGCTACTACTACTACTACTACGACTACTACTACTACTACTACTACTACTACTACTACTACTACTACTATACTACTAACTACTACTACTACTACTAACTACTACTACTACTACTACTACTACGACTACTACTACTAC